GGCGGGCCGGCCCGAGAGCCGCTCTGCGCCCTGACCGGTCTCCCGTGCGGGTGGGACGAAGACGGGAGGGGAGGAGCAGGCTCCGCCCGGTCACTGACCCCTGGCGCGGCGAGGGGCCGGCGCGGGGCCGGGGCCACACAGGACAGGAACGAGCGGACGAACGCTGACGGGCAGCAGCGCGGCTCACGTTTCAAAAGCGCCGTCGGCTTTGGGAACGCTGATGACGCCGTGCGGCGCCGACTGTCTTCGCGTGCGGAATTCGTCACGAGAAGGCTCACTGTGCAGAAGTTGCGCACTTCTCTGAACACGGCTATCGGGAAGATCCCTGCGAACGCTTCTTCCACAGTGGCCTCCGGGTAGGTGTACAAGGGTCTGCTTTTCAGTAGTACGATATTGGACTTTAAGACACAGTGTCCCGTCACTAGCATTTCCGAAATGGGAGCGAAACCCAGAATCCTCCTGCTTTAAGTGTGTGTTTTTCTGTTCTACAACATCTCTGGTGTCCGTCGACCGAAGCACTCGACTCAAGCCTCTGTTCTAAGAAATGTGTTAAATGGTGCATCAGCACCACAGTTTGATGTTTTTATTTGTAGAAAAAGACTTCTCTGAGTTGTAATCCTGTCAGCATTTAGCTTGTAACGTATGAACACCCTGGCATTTGAAACCACGTTTGGGCGCAGAGCATGGCCTGCGCGTGCTGGGCAGGCCGGGGGATGGAGCGAGTGGGTTCGGGAGCGCCGCCCTGCCGGCCGAGGACGGCGGTGTGCGTCTCCGGGTCTGGGCAGGAGGGTGCGGAGCGCTGCGTGTGTGCCGGGCGCCCCTCACGAGAGGAGGCGGGACAGGGGCTTCCGCAGGCGTGCGACGGGGGAAGCGGGCATGGGCGTGCTGGAGCCTGATTGCCCTGGACCCGCTCTCAGCACAGCAGCTGCGGTGTCTGCCTGCCTTCCTCCGCCCGCTCCCTCGCCTTCTTCTGTTTCTTCGCCGCACGGATTCTGGGTGACTCCCCTCGACTCGAATCATGCTTGCGCAGATCAGCCATTAACCTTTAAGCTTTTTTCCCCCGGTCCTGTGGTCAGCCCCACCCCCACGGTGGCTCCTGGTGCTGAGTCGTGCCCGGGACGGTGCTGGACTTGCAGGTCCAGGGAGGAAACCCCCCGGTGCCCACACCTGCTGCGTGCTGGGTGCCGCGCTCCCCAGAGTCGCGACCTCATTAGGGCAGGGAATCACGAAAACCCCGCAGAGTACGCACTAGTTTTGTCATATCACATCTGGGAAGTTAATTTAAGGAGGGCCCTGGTCCAAAGTGGCCGGCATGGTTAGAGGCGGTGACTCCAGCCTTACGCCAGGGACACTGCATGACTTTTGGAAAAGCAGGAGATAGATTACTTGACTAGGTTTTTGTTAAATAAATTTTGAGAAATATCCCCTCTAAAAAGCAAAGTTTAGTGCCCTCAGAATACTAGTAGGTATGGTTAAAGAAGTAGTGTCTTTCACCAGTGCTCTTGCTCAATTATCAAAATAAGCCTTGTGAGTCTTTTGGAAGAAGATTGTATTATACTAATGAAATTATTCTCACAAGGCATGTGGCTAAGAGAGGACTCTGAAAATGAGCAGGAATCCTGACAGCTCACGAAGGAGTGTGGATTCAGACCCCAGAGACCATGGCAGCGCCTTAGGTCCTGCTGGGAAATGTAGCCGAGTCCCCATGGCCCACGCTTGGCTCGAAGGCTGTGCCATCAGCTTGCGCCACTGGTATACTTGTAATAAGACACGTCCATTCAGATGTTTAACTGTTTAGGGTCGGAACGAACATCCGGAAAGCACCCCAGTGACATCATCCTGGCTGAGACTGTGGCCAAGAGGTATGAGGAATCCAAACCAGGTGTTACAGAAGAGAGAGGACTGGGGTGTGAGCAGATGGGTTCCTGGTTTTGAAGGATGGGGGCCTACCAGTCACAGGAGAAGTTTAGGAAGAAAGGTTGGGGAAATTGTGAAATTGTGGTTTAGCCATGGAGGAAGGCTGCTCCATAAGACAGAAATAGGTGGAATTTGTTGGAATGTAACAAAAAGTCACAACTATAATTTTCATCATGTTATCAAACTTAGCTTATGTTAGTATCATAATCATCAATTTTGTGTCAAGTATGAAATAATAAGAGCATTGATGTAAGATAATATAAAAGCTCTTTCTTATTGATAGTGGGCAGTGAGGCTGTATTTCCCATTTTACAATTCTGTGTCGCATGGGGCTTGTTTGGGGAAGTTTTGCTCGGGTCTTCCTGGCCATGTCGGATTGCATTTAGACCATGTCTAATGCTGCCTTAGAACACGAGGTGGAGCATGGAGCTCTCCAATAGCATGTGTAGACAAGAAGTAGAAGAAGGCAGGTACATGTGTTCAGGGTCCAGTCTACACAGCATGGTTCAGGCTATGACTCAAAATACCCCAGCAAGGGAAGAAAGGAAGACCAAATGTGGAAAGTGTGCAGGATGGCATGGTGACTATTCTCCTCCTAGGCCCACAGCCCCTGGTGTGGAGAAAGAGAAGGAAAAAGTTAAGAAATGGAAATCTGAGAACTTCTTGTTTTCCTTTAAGATCATGATACTTCACAGTGGACATTTAGGCTGTTTCCAGTATCTTGGTATTATAAGTAATATTCAGATGTACATCCTGAGTGTGCAGTGTTTTCTATGTCTGGATTTATTTTCTCAAGATAGGTTATTAAAAGTAGTGCTACTGAGTAAAAGAGCAAAAACTTTGCAAGCGTTCTAATATGTACAGAGAAATATTTTTCAAAATGTTCCCCATTGCTTGTTTCCTTACCAGGTTAGATTATTGACACTTTCAGTATCTTTGTTAAGTTCATTATCAAGAAATGGTACCTATTACTTTAATTTGCCTTTTTAAAAATATTATGAATATTGTACATTATTCCATATGCTATTAATTATTGGAGTTTTTTCATTTTAAAATTGCTTGTTTATATCCTTCATATCTTTATCTTTTGGACCCAATTTAAAATTGACTTTTTGGGGGCGCCTGGGTGGCTCAGTTGGTTGGGTGACTGCCTTCGGCTCAGGTCATGATCCTGGAGTCCCGGGATCGAGTCCCACATCGGGCTCCCTGCTCAGCAGGGAGTCTGCTTCTCCCTCTGACCCTCCCCCCTCTCATGCTCTTTTTATCTCATTCTCTCTCTCAAATAAATAAAATCTTTAAAAAAAAAATAAAATAAAATTGACTTTTTGTCCTTTGTATTTACAGTATTTTTTTGTAGATTCAGTTTTGCTTTTTATTTT